GGGGAGGGCAGGGGCAGGGCAGGAGCCCAGAGGTTGCTGGGGGAAGCAAAGGCAGCCTGGAGATGGCCAAAGGACCAGCGTGGGCTCCAGCCCCACCGGCAGGGCAAAGCCCCGTCCCGCACTTTGCTGCCAGGGAGTCAGCGGGTACCGGGGCACCTCCTCAAGCACCTGCTTGGCTCCACTTTGCTCCCCGGCTCCCAACTCAGCTGAGCCCTCAAGCCTGCCTGATGTTCTCCTCCTGCCCTCCTGCCCTGCAGCCTCAGCGCGGTTCCCTCGGCTGTTCTCAGGCTCCCAGCCCCTCGCCACCCTCCCAACCCGCAGCAGGAGCTGGCCATGCCCTGGGCACTGCTGCGGAGGCCCCGACTTCACCATCCTCATCCCCGAGAGCAGCTGACACAGGCTGGGGAAGGAAGGACTCACACGAGCAATGAGATCAGGGCAGAGATAGGCACCCGCTCCTGTTAATAATTAATAGCTGGGGCGGATTCTCCTTTTTTTTTTTAAGTGACACTCCTTGCCTCTACCAGTGCCACCCTAGACTGTCCTTCCAAGTTCAGTTCAACAATTAACCGCCTGCTGATGAGGCAAGCTGAGCACCCAGGCAGAGGCAGGAGAAGAAGAGGGCTGTGCCGCCGCTTACCGTTACTGTGGTTGCCCGTCTGGAGGGAGGCAGGGGGCTGCAGGCTGCCCCCCAGGGACCCGTAGCCACGGTAGCTATAGTTCAGGCTTCCATTGATGTAGACTGGGTCTTGGGAGTAAGATGAAGCTGGCAGTGAGTAGGAGGAGTGGGTGATGGCTGTGGAGTCTCTGGAGTGCTGCTTGTCTAGAGCGATCGGTTCGTCCTGCATGGAGGAAACACAAACTTACTCCAGCGAGGAGCCCCGTGTCCTCTGCAGATGGTGGGAGGGACACCTCCTGCAGCTGCAGTGTGGCCAACCCGGACCAGTGTCCCCGTCCCCACTGCCCCGAGTCTGGAGACACACCATGGGGCCCTGTTTTGCAGTCCTCTGACTTTCAGAAAGGCTTTTAAAAAAGCTTCGTGAAATGGCTCAGGAAAGTTTCTCCTGCTCCCCGCCCTGCTCCATCAAGAGGGACAGAAATCTACTCGAGAGAGTCCAAGGAAGGGCTTCAAGGATGATGAAGGGACTGGAACCGCCTTGTAAGGAGAGGCTGAGGGACCTGGGGCTTTTTAGTCTGGAGAGGAGAAGACTGAAAGGGGATCTAATTAATGTGTATAAATAATGAGGGCTGGGCTTCAAGAAGGAAGGCACAACCGCTTTTCCATTGGCCCTGTGATAGGACAAGGGGCAATGGATTCAAGCCAGAGCACAGGAAGTTCCTCCTCAACACGAAGAACTTCTTTTACTGTGCGGGTGCCGGAGCCCTGGCACAGGCTGCCCAGAGAGGTTGTGGGTCTCCTCTGGAGACTTTCAAGACCCGCCCGGACGTGTTCCTGTGTGACCTGCCCTAGACTTTGTGATCCTGCTCTGCCAGGGGCGTTGGACTCGATGATCTCCAGAGGTCCCCTGCAAACCCAAACATTCTGTGACTCTGTGATTCCTCCGCCCACCTCCGGCCACAAGCGCTGTACCTGGGAGGTCTGGTAGATCTCCAGCCGCATCCTCTTGGCTGCTTTCCGCGTTTCGCTCTCGCAGGCGGCGGCCAGGATGTTCTCCGCCATGGCCGAGGTCAGGTGTGGCGGCGTGGGCCTGGTCTGAGGAGACACAAGCAGAGAAGATGCTCAGGCACCTGTGGCCCTGGGCGCGGTGGCAAGC